TTCCCTACTACTAATGTGAATTCCTCACCTCTTTACATATGAGCCCAAGTAAGATTTAAGAGATGTTGAATTAACAATATGTCTTTGGAAGTGACAATGGAATGATAGCAAAACATTTAGTGTCTAATTGTGCAAGATAGGTTAACCATCTCTGATGAGAGACCTACTTATTTCAACAGGATCAACATCTTGGGAGGAGGGACAGAGACATTCCCATTGCTCACGCTCCCCCCTCCCAGATCCATTAGACTCACGTCCGTGTATCTGAGGGCCGGGTGCGTCCCCTGCACAGCCGTCACCGTCAGCGGCAGCCCCTCCAGGTTCCACAGCTTGCGGCTCAAGTCGTCGTAGGAGCGGACGATGCTGACCATGGCCTCCTCCCCAGACCCTGCAGGCTGAGAGCACCCCAGCGGGTCAGGTGGCAAGGCTCAGGTGTAACTGTCCCCGCCCCCACCAGGCAGGTATGCCCCATCACATCTGGGAGGAATACAAGGAGCCAGGAGCAGCGCTGCCGTGTCCCACCCCAGAAGTGGCTGCTTTTCAGAGGTGGGGGGAGCGCTCCCTAGAAAAGGACGAAAGGCAGCACAAAGATGTCTACTGCAGGCATTCAGGGAGAAGCGGAGGCAAGCAGCAAGGCTGAGAAATCCGCCACCCCCACAGGAGAAAGCAGCAGTGGAGAGCAAATTAGATACGTTAATGGCAACGCAGCACAGGTGCAAATGAAGGAAAAGCTGCCAGGGGAAGGCACTGGACCCTGGAGAAGGGAGGCAGCGGCCCATTCCGCCACACCGTTCAACGGTTGCACTCCGTTCCGGGTACCACGTCTCTGGAGAGAGCCGCTAAGAGGGTGCTGCTCAGAGAAAAGAAACATACGATGAGCGGGCTGAAGGTTGAGAGGGAGAAGGCTCCAGCCTGGCTAAGCAATGACGAACGGGACAGTTATCTGCAGACTGTGACGCTGAGACGGGAGAGGAAGCAGAGGGGGCGCCTACGTAGCCCAGTGGCAGGACACAGTCAGCACAGAGGAGGGAGGGGTTTCTATCCCTCCCCTAGCACCTAAAACAAAGGGAATGGAGGCAGATTTCAAAAGAGCAGCGCAGAGGCAAACACACACAGCTGTACGATGTCTGAGTTTATGGGGAGCAGCAGCGCCCTCTGCAGGTTTGAGTTGGCAATTGCAGCGCAACGTCTTTAAGAAGAGGATCCAACCCAAGCTAGCAGGACAGTCTGTTTCCTTCTCATTGCCCAACGTTCCCAAAATCCCCGGCACGCTGGAGACATGCTAACAAGCAAACCAGAGCCACAGCCTCCGAGGGCTTGTCTCCACTGCAGCACTAGTCTCAGAGCTTGAGCTCGCAGACTGCGGGGCTCTGAAGCATAGAGGAGACGCTCAGGCCGGAGACCAGGCTCCGAGACCCTCCCCTCTTCACAGCTCAAGTGCCTACAAGGCAACAGTTAGCTCCATTGCCCGAGCCAGCTAAGGGTCTCTTATCACAACGTAGATATGCCCAGGCTTGAAGGCCATGCTAAGCAGGAACCACAGGCCTGGGTTAAGCAACAGGTCATCTTATCAGTACCTTCCAGTCTTATTGGCTAGGAAACCCTGCACCTCAAGACCCTTCCTGCCCTTGTTCCCAGGCTCAGCATGGCTTCCTTCCACTTGGTTGCTAGGGGCAGCACTCAGAGACAAGAGGTACTGGAGCGCCTGTGCACAACCCTCGCAGCTCCTCAACTCCAGGCCCCAGAACGTGAGAGCTATTCTCTACCCTGGCACTAGCCTGGCCCCTGGTACAGATGGAGGACATACAGACTAGGCCACAGAACAGGTCTCGGGGCTTGTGGCTCCCAGGTTGTGGAGTAGGTCTCTGTCCAGCGCCACCCATCCCAACCAAAGCTGATCCAAGTGGACTCTGGATGAGGCAGAGGAATACACCGTCCGGTTATCGGGTGACAAAGTCGACCCGCTTAATGCCAGTTTCAAGCCTCCTCTTCACACAGGACACAGCTTAAGTGGGGGGTAATGTTAGCAGAGCCAGAGAGCCACCCCCAAAGAGAATGAAAAGGACAACACGCAGCCCTCTCAGCGCTACGACTCCTGACACTGAAAAGCACCAAGCCACATGGAGACGTTTTCAGGCCGGCAGAGACGACTGCAGGCCAGGGACAGAGTCTAAGGAACCCCCCGAATGAGCCCATGGGAGATACGTAAGGCTAAGATTTTAATAAGAATCAGGGACACGTCACGGGCGACCAACGGAAATTCAGAAGCCGACAACCAGTCCCTCACTCTGACTAAAAATAACTGACAAAATGAAGCCCCTTGGGCAGCCGGGGGCAACTAAGAGTTGCAGGGACCTTCACTGGCTGACAGCTCCCACCCCACCGCCCTGCAGCTGAAGCAGAACATGTCACCGATTCTGGGACTTCCAGAGACCTCCGTGACCTCAGTGACATTCTCTTAGCATTAAGGTTAACAGCCACAGGCCGTGCAGATCTGCTTTGGATTATGGGTGTTAGAGATGGGTCCCATTCAAATCATCCCCCAGGGTCACAGCAAGACTGTTTCCTACCGCGCTTTTATAGGTTTTATGGTGAGCAGCGGGGCCAGGTGAAAGTTTTCCACCTAAACTATTTTCCAACAGAAAATCTGATTTTTGATTAAGGGACTTTTTTTTATAAAAAGTATCTGCTTTCTATGGAAAATTTTGATTAAAAAAATGCCCCCAACCCAAGTTATTTTGTTTAAAACCCTGAGCTACTTCTGTTTAGAGCAAGAGTTGGGTGCCTCCTGGGAGTTGTCATTTGGTTTCCTCATGTTCCTAGTCTCCTCTAGCTGGACTCCCCACACTGGGCTATACTGCCCCAGGACTCACATGATGAGGGGAGACTGTGGAGCATCATGGGAAATGTAGTCCCACCACAGACCTAGGCCTACAGAAGAGAATGGGAGTACAAGGAATCCAAACTACAACTCCCCTGAGGCAAAGCAGCAGCATTTTCCAATTGAAATATTTCTGGTTTTGACTGAAGTATTTCTGCTTTGAATTTTTCACCGAAGACACTTTTCTGTGGAGCAAATGGGTTTGCTTGGTGGAAAAGCCACACCAGCCTTCCCTGTGGTAATACATCGGTCCCACCAACCCAGGCCGGCCATGGCTCCAGAAAGAGAAGAGCCCAGTTGCTGGAGCCAAGCAGTGCTAGTCTAGCTGCTATAAATGGACGGGGGCAATTCTGGAGCGAGGATTAACCGGGGCAGTAAGACCCACGGCGGTAGTGTTAGAAACGTATGCGGTCCTTCACAGACAGACACTCACCCTACCTGGAAGAGCTTAATATGTAAGAGATGAGAAACCTAAGCTAGGCGGGCCCCAGGATGGCTACTTTAAAAAGGGAGGGAAAGAAGGGCTCCCGGAGGACAAGATGCAGGAAGTGCGTTTTAGGGAGGGATCTGAAGGAGAGTGGGGAAGGCGAAAGCCCAAAGAGAAGCACAAGACTTTCCCTAGCACAGGCCGCACGGTTGGGATGTGCAGAGAACTGGGAGGTGCCCGGGACGCAGGAATAGGCCTATGGAGGGAGGGAGATTACCCAGCTCCTGGGAGGAGCAGATGAGGAGCATGGTTTGGGGAGAGAGTAGAGTCGGAGCCAGCAGGAAGATGGGAGAAAGGGGGCTGTATAGCAGGAGGCAATGTTACTAGCAATCCTGGAGCGAGGGAAGCTGGTTTCAGGAACCAGAGCAAGGCAAGCTAGTCTCAGACCTGCAGGGAAGCGAGACAGAAGGGATTCGGAAGGAGGAGGCGGCGACCAGGAGCCCCAGGGTTGGAAAAGCAGGAAAGGAGCCACAGAGCCCAGGAAATTAACCTCGGCACCTGACAAGTAGCAAGGCAGGAGTCTCTGGGGCCCCAGAGCTAAACCCCTCACACCTTGCTCCCTTCCCCTAGCCCCAGAAAGAAACCACCCGTCCCAGGCCGGGAATTTTAGAGAAGGCCTCACCTCTCGCACGGGTCTGATCACAGATTCCAGCACGGCCCCTGTGTAGCAGATGGAGGATTCAGGAATATCTGCATGGCTAGAGAGAAACCAGAGCAAGAAGAGG